GAGTCTCACAGTGTCAAAATTTCAATTTTGAAAGGCAAATTTATAGTTCTACAAAATAATAAAGAACACATTAATTCTTAGTAGTGCTTCTCTCTATATACCACAGTTATGTTTTAAGCTAACGCAGTTTTATACTTTGCTCAGGGAATTTCATCATTTTGACACCTGTATCAGGAAACTGTATACAGTAATATGACAATTGGTCTTTTCTAAGGAGTATCTCTACACCTTTCCTTAGATTTGATATATAGGGTTGGATTTTACAGCCTTTTGCTGAGTTCATTTACAATGGGTAGTGGAGGAGGGTATGTCAAATATGTTTGGTCACCAGTTTACCTCCTCCCCACCCAACTCTCACATGTTCCTCAAATATAGGGGTGGATGGTGGGGAAGGCACCCACTGTGTCAGCCAACGTTAGGCCCATTTAGACAATTAATTAAGGAGCAGGTGACGGCCCAGTAGTATAATCAGCAAAATATTAGTGCAGAAATTCAGCTAAATGCTCTGGGGACTCAGGTTAGAATCCCACCACGGCAGACGGTGGAACTTGTAATTCAATAAAATATCTGAAATCTACAGATAACCATTGTCAACTGTCAGAAAAACCCACCTGGTACACAAATGTTCTTCAGGGAAGGAAATCTGCCATCCTCACCTGGTATGGTCTACATGTGACTCCAGACCCACAACCATGTGGGTGATTCTCAAATGCCCTTTGGAAATGGCCTAGAAAGCCACTCAATTGCATCAATCACTACCAAGTCTCAACAAAGAAATGAAACCGCATAGTTGGGCATCAATCTAGGTACCAGAAATGACAATGGCAAAAACGGCCCTGTCGACCCTGCAAAGTCCTCCTTACCAATATCTGGAGATTAGTGCCAAACTTGGGACAGCTGTCTCACAGACTGGTCAGGCAACAGCCTGATGCAGTCACACTCACGAAATCATACCTTACAGACAATATCGCAAACATCACCATCCCAGGATACGTCATGTGCCACGAGCAGAACAGACCCAGCAGAGGTGACAGCACAGTAGTATACAGTCAGGGAAGAGTTGCCCTGAGAGTTATCGCATTGACTCTGGACCCCACGAAATCTCATAACATCAGGTTAAACAATATGAATAGAATAGAATACAATACAATATTCTTTACTGTCACATGCACTCTAGTACAGAAGTATAGGAGTATAGTGAAATGTTTTTACAATGGCTGCCTTCAATGGCGCCATCTTATGTACAAGTACCTAAGTGCAAATCTTTCAGACTAAAAAAAAAGCGTTGTTACAGAGTAAAAAATATAAATTAACATAAAACAGTGAAAAAGTTCAGAATGATAATAAGTGACCATTAGTACTTAAATTCCATAAGTTCCAATCCGTGCCTGCAGGCCCCAGAACATGAGGCCATGCTGCCTCCATGTGCCAGCATCTATCCAGGACTCGCCCCGCTGCAGGTCCGGGAATCACCCATTTGCTCCGCCACAAGATTTGGCCCGTGCTCATTCTGCCGTGGGACGCAGCCTGTACGCGCTCCATTCCGCTGTGGGACACAGCCTGCTTGCTCCAGTCATCGACTCTACTTTCTGGTTAGGGCGTGGGAGGCAGGGAGCAGAAGCTATGAAGAGGAGAAAGAAAGAAGGGAAATGGAAAGGGACTAGTGAGCAGAGGAGCTCCAACCGGAGCGTCCTACTCTACCGCCATCCTTAGGTGAAGAGGAAGCACTGAGGGTGGCAATGGTGCAAAATGTACTCTGGCTGGGGGATTTCAATGTCCACCACCAAGAGTGGCTCAGCAGCAACACTGTTGATTGAGCTGGCCAGGTCCTAAAAGACATAGCTGCTAGACCGGGTCTGCAACAGGTGGTGAGGGAACCAACAGAAAATCATACTTGACCTCATCCTCACCAATCTACTGGCTGCAGATGGATCTGTCGTAACAGCATCATTAAGAGTGACCAGTGCACAAACCTTGTTGAGGTGAAGTCCTGCCTTCACATTGCAATGTGTGGCACTGACACCATGCTAAATGGGACAGCCTTCAAACAGATCTAGCAACTCAAGACTGGATATCCATGAGCCGCTGTGGGTCATCAACAGTAGCAGAATCGTACTCCAACACAATTCGTAACCTCATGGTCTGGCATATCACCCACTCAACCATCAAGTCATGGGGTAACCCTTAATTTAATGGAGAGTGCAGAAGGGCATGCCAGGAGCAACAATAAGGTGTCAGTCCGGTGAAGCTACTAAATGGGAATATTTGCCAAGCAACATAAGCAGCAAGTAACAGGCAGAACTAAGCAATCCCACACCAACGGATCAGATCTAAGCTCTACAGTCATGTCACATTAAGTCGTGGATGGTGGTGGACAATTAACAACTCAATGGAGGAGGAGGCTCCACAAATATCCCCAGAAGAGCCCAGCACAGCAGTGCAAAAGATAAGACTGAAGCATTTGCATTAATCTTCAGCCAGAAGTGCCAAGTGGATGATCCATCTCAGCTGCCTCCCCTGGTCCCCACCATCACAAATGCCAGTCTTCAGCTAATTTGATTCAATTGATTTGATATCAAGAAACAACCAGAGGCATTGGACACTGCAAAGGCTATGGGCTCCGACAACATTCTGGAAATAGTACTGAAGGTCTGTGCTCCAGAACTTGGCATATCCCAAGCCAAGCTCTTCCAGCACAGTTAGAACACTGGCATCTACCCAACAATGTGGAAAATTGCCCAGGAATTTCCTATACACAAAATCAACTCAGCCAATTTTTGCCTTGACTGTTTACTATTGATCATCAGGAAAGTAATGGAAGGTGTCATAGAAAGTGCTATCAAGCAGCATCAGCTTAGCATCAGCCTGCTCACTGATGTCAGTATGAGTTCCATCAGCTCCTGACCTCACTACAGCCTTGTTTCAAACATGGACAGAAGAGCTAAATTTCAGAGGTGAGATTACAGTGACAGCCCTTGACATCAAGGCCGCATTTGACCAAGTGTGGCATACGAGCCCTAGCAAAACTGGAATCAACGGGAATCAGGCAGTAAACTGGTCCCTGGTTGGAGTCATACCTGGCACATAGGAAGATGGTTGTGGTTATTGGAGGTCAGTCATCTCAGCTCCAGAACATCTCTGCAGGAGTTCCTCAGGATAATGTCTGCTGCTTCATCAGTGACCATCCCTCCGAGCTGACCATCCTGACTTGGAAAAATATTGCCATTCCTTCACTGTCACTGGGTCAAAATCCTGGGATTCCCTCCTTAAGGACATTGCAGGTCTAACCAGAACACATGGACTGCAATGGTTCAAGAAGGCAGCTCACTGCCACCATCTCAAGGGTAACTAGAGATGACAAATAAATGCCGGCCCAGCCAGCGACGTCTGTACACTGTGAGTGAATAAAAAATGGTAATCAATGGCCTCAATCCACCTCCACTGTCACAAACACTGGATGGTGCAGGCGGGCTAGAGTGCAAAGGCCACAAATCGCTTTTTGTAATAAGCCAGGAAGCGGAGGGTTGTTTCATAATTAATGGTGGGGACAGCACCGTGTAACACACACCCCTCCCAGCTTCCCTGTTCAGCTACAATGACCTTTCTTCCATCATAAGGTCAGAAGCAGGGGTGTTCGCCAATGATTGCACAATGTTCAACACCATTTGTGACTCCTCAGATACTGAAGCAGTCCATGTTCAAATTCAACAAGATCTTGACAATACCCTGACTTGAGCTGACATGAGGCAAGTAACATTTGTGCCACACAAATACGAGGCAATGACAATCTCCAATAAGACACAATCCAACCACAGCCCCTTGAGAGTCAATGGTGTTACCATCACTGAATTCCTGCATTATCAACATCCTTGGGGGTTACCACTGATCAGAAACACAAATAGATTTGCTATATAAATACAGTAGCTACAAGAGCAGGTCATATGTTAGGAATACTGCAGCTCATGACCCCCAAGCCTGTCCACCATCTACAAGGCACAAGTCAGAGTATGATGGAATGCTCCCCACTTGCTTGGATAAATCCAGCTCCAAGAACACTCACGAAGTTTGACATCATTCAGAACAAAAAAACCCACCTGACTGATACTGTATCCAGAAGCATCCACTCCCTGCACCACTGACGTTCAGTAGCAGCAGTGAGAACTATTAACCAGATGCACCGCAGAAATTCACCAAAGATCCTCAGACGGCACATTCCAAAACCATGACCACTTCCATCTAAATGAATAAGGGCAAAAGATACATGGGAACACCACCATCTGCAAGTTCCCCTCCAAGCTGACCATCCCGACTTGGAAAAATATTGCCATTCCTTCACTGTTACCAGGTCAAAATCCTGGGATTCCCTCCTTAAGAACATTGCAGGTCTAACCACAACACATGGATTGCAATGGTTCAAGAAGGCAGCTCACTGCCACCATCTCAAGGGTAACTAGAGATGACAAATAAATGCTGACCCAGCCAGCGATGTCTGTACGCCGTGAGTGAATAAAAAAAATAAAAAAAGTAAATGGTAATCAATGGCCTCAATCCACCTCCACTGTCACAAACACTGGATGGTGCAGGCGGGCTAGAGTACAAAGGCCATAAATCGCTTTTTGTGATAAGCCAGAAAGCGGAGGGTTGTCTTATAATTAACGGTGGGGACAGCACCGTGTCAACACACACCCCTTCCCTACAATGCCAAAGCCAACCCCGCTACACGCAGTTTTTGGCTGCCTAGTCCTTTCTTACTATCTCCCAGGTGACCACTGTGCTTCTCTATGGAGTCTGTAGTCCCAGAAACGTTCCTTACTGTGTTCCAGTTACTCAATTGGCCAGAAGCTGTTGAGGGAGAGTCTTCCTGTCCAATTAAGGTTGGAAGCTCAACTCACAATCCACTTATGCCACCCTCCAGTGTGTTATTGCTGCCAGGCAGACTTTTTGTAAAGGCACTCTATTCAGGAGTTACACAGGGATACGTGTACGGATATGGTACTAACCGTTGGTTTGGTGACATTCAGTTCCTTCACCATCTCAATATAGTGTCTCTTCCAGATTCTTTGCTCATAGATAGTTGGTGAGAAGTTGATGTACCAGTCCAGTCTCAGGCATTTTGGCATCCAAAGTTGGTCCAATTCAGCCAAGTCCTTCCAATGCCAGCTTACCTAGAACATAGCAAAAAGTACACAGCACATTTTCAGTGTGATCTGGGGACCAACAAAAATAACAATGTACACATGTAATTCTCTACATGTACGCTTTGTGAAAACACCTAAAAAGCTATCCATACCATAAAACAGTTCCACAAGACAATGCTTGAGTCTCAGTATGCCTGGGGCCACACTACACCAACTTTACATTCAAGAAATGTCACTATAAAGAACAGGCTTTGCTTGGTTTATTGTGACCTCACTTCTGTGTTAAGAAGGTTGCAGTTCAAGTTCCATTCTGGACTTGGACTGACACTCCCAAGGCAGCTCCAAGAGAGTGCAGCACAGTTGAAGGGCGTACCTTTCACATGAAATCTTAAATAAAGACTCTGTCTGCTCTCTCTAGTGCACAGTTCAAGGAAAAGCAGGGGAGTTCTCTCCAGAATCCAAGACAATACTTACCCTTCAGTTAACAGCTAAGAACAGATTATTACCTCATCTCATTGCTATTTGTGGGATATTGCTGAATACAAATTGGCTGCTACATTCTGTTACATTACAATTGTGACTACACTTCAAAATACTTCATGGCTGTAAAACACTTTGGAAATCATGAAATTATGAGTGTTAGCTAAAAGGTGTGAAGAATGCAAGACTTAGCATCAGCCACATCCAAAGAATGAGCTGTCTGAGAGTTCTAAATTTACAATTTCTGTTTGCCAGACATTTACTGCTATTTTTCTGGAATCACACAACATAGAAGGAGACCATTCAGTTTATTGTGCTTGTGCCTACTCTTTGAAAGAGCCATCTATTTACTTTTTAAAAAGGCAGAAATGGGTAATACAAGTCTGGATTTAACACACAAGTTCCGGAGTATTGTTTTGACCTTAGGAGTAGTCGAAACATATGCACAGTTTCAACAAAAGCTGAACACAATTCAGACATGAAGGCAGTGAAGATGGCTCCTTGGAGCTGTTCTTGCTCCATGGCAAGAAGGAGTAGCTATGTAGGAACCCATCAACTTGGTAGCTTGTGTAATAGTATGTGATCAAGGTATTAACAACTGTAGCAAACTGCAGTAGAGAATAAGCGGATCCTCCAGTTCTGTATAAGTGCCTGTGAACTTCACAAACTATTTCAGAGATAGTAGAACTGCAGATGCTGGAGAATCTGAGATAACAAGGTGTAGAGCTGGATGAACACAGCAGGCCAAGCAGCATCAGAGGAGCAGAAAGGCTGACATTTCGGGCCTG